TAGGGGCAGAACGCGGGTGGGCGACGGGGGACGGGGTGAGGGCTGGCAGGAGGGGATGGGGGGGGCGTCCACGGGCGTGGGCAGGCGCCGGGGGCTGCACGGGGACCGCGTGCGGGAGGCAGGTCTCCTGGGTTCAGGACCACTGTGCTTTCTCCCACCCGGCCCCCAGGTGAGGACCAAGGACGTGCTGTTTGAGAGCATCAGCCACCTCATCAGCCACCACCGGCAGAACGAGCAGCCCATCATGGCTGCAGAGAGCGAGCTGCACCTCCGCCAGGTTGTCCGGAGGAAGCAGTGATGCCAGGGGGTACGTGAGCCCCGACCTGCTCCCCTGGTGCCGGACTCGCCCCAGCCCCAGGGCAAAGCCGGGGCCCATCCACGCTCCCCTCCTCCATTTGTGTGTGGCCTCAGGGGGAGGCAAAGCCCCCAAAACCCCAGGGTGGGCTGCCCCATGGCCCTCCCCAGTGGTGCCTCATGATCCCTGGTCCTGAAGGGTCCCCCCCTACTGCTACCTCCCCTCCATCGTCCTCATGCGGCCCCGTACCCAGCTGGACATGAAGACATTTATTCCATGTGTGGAGGCAAAACGCTGCCACGGTGGGAGCTGGTGGGCAACCTCGCTGAGAGGGACTGAGCCCGACCCCGGTTTGGGCAGCACTTCCCCCACGATGGGGGGCCTGGGTGGGCTCCGCTGCGGGGCTGCCCCATCCCCCTCCTGCCCGGGTCCCTGCCTGCGCGGGGCTGTGTGCGTCCGGCTGCTGGTACCACCGTCCCCCACTGCCCAGTGCTGCAGACCCCAGCGCCGGCTCCATCCCGGCACACGGAATTGGATGATGATGGAGCAAATGGGGTCGGGGCGGGTGCCGGGAGCCTCAGCCCAGAGCTCCCAGGGTGGGATGGGGTGAGCAGGCGTGTGTGTGCCTGTGTGTGTGTGTGTGCATCCGTATGTGTGCCCGTGTGTGCATGTGTGCCCGTGAGCGTGTGCAGGTATGTGAGGGAGAGCCGGGGGACCAGCCCCTCACCCACAGAGCTGTGCCTCTCACCCAACGCTGCTGCTCAGGACCCGACTCCCCGCCTCGTCCCCCCTGACATCTGGGGAGTACCCCCATCTGTGGGGTCCCCCATCAGCGGGGGCTGTAGCCCCCCCCCGGCTTCACTCTGGCCGTGGGACGGGGCACAAGCGTCTCTTGGAGGCTGGTGCTTCTGGATGTCCCTGTCGCTCTCACATTTCCAGCTGGATTCTCCCCAGGAGCTGCTGTTGTGCGGGGCTCCTGGTGGCCCCAAGCCCCCGCAGCCCTCCCCAGGCTGGGGCCAGGACAAAGCTGCTGCGGGGAAGGCGCAGGGCAGGGCTGAGCTCCTGGCACCGGCCCGTGATGCCAGGGCTGCCGGGGGGAGAGGGGTCCCTCAGCCCCCAGGGAGCCCCCCCGGCCGGCTCGGGGCTTTGGTAGGTTTTTACGGCATACATGTCCCCTTCTCCAGTGTGTCTGGCTCTGGGTGCAGGTTCGTGGTTTGGAATACGTTTCTAATTAAACCTGGAAATGAGCAAGGTGCACGGGTTGTTCGTGGCACGGTGCTGGGACAGTGCTGCTGCTGCCGGCTCCTGCGCCCGGGGGTTCGATGGGGCTGGGGATGCAGAGGGTGTTGGGACGGTGTCTCCATCACCACCAGCTCCTGCCTGGTCCCACGCTGGCGGTGGCATCTGGCCACATCCTGGCTGGTCACACTTGCCTCTGCCCCCCTGGGTCATCTTGTCCCCCTTCTGCACGTGGGTCACCCCCGACTCTGCAGCTCCGGAGGGGGCTGCAGCACCCAGGGCTTGTCCCCGGGGCGCTGGTCCTGCTCTGCATCTCCTCCCGTGCTGCCTGCTCCCGCTGCCTGTGGGATCATCTCCCCCCTCTGCCCGCGGGCAGCATGCGGCTGCTTGCCCCCGAGCCTCCTGGCCAGGCCCCCTCCAGCTCCTGCCGCAGCCGGCCCACGGGGAGCCTGGCCACGGCTCCTGGTGACACGGTGCGGCAGATAGGAAAGGTTCTTGTCTGGAGTCGGCAGAGGCGGGAGAAGGCTGCTGCAGCACCGCGGGAGCCAGCGGCGTGACCGGGCTGCAAAACACCAAGCGCATGCACCGGGTGGGCAGCAGCCTCCCAGCGGGTCCGGCACCAGCCCCGGCACTGGCCGGCTCCGGGGTTCTGCCGCGTCCCCTCGGCTCGCCCGGCCCCAGCTGGGTGCCGCCGGCCCATCTCGGCTCTGCCCCATGTGCTGCCGCCGAGCCACCGGCACCGCTGCGGGGAGCGGGGTCACCCTGGCACCCTCTGCCCCTCGCTGGGGACGGCCCCTCCCGGGACGGGGCTGGCTGGGTGCTGGCTGAGTCAATGAGTGAAATGAGCCCCTGAATAAAGCCCAGTAATGAATGTGTAATTTTCCATTGATAGTTGAATACCTACAGGGATGCAGCGTTTCCATCTCGGCTGCTATTTTTTGTCATGTAGTAATGCATCTGTGAAGATAATTGCGTCGTTCCCTCAATGGCAGAGGCAGGAAGAGGCAGCGAGAGCTCGGACTTTCTTCTTTCACCCCTGGAGAACAAGCCCACGCGTTGCCCGCACTGCTGCGGGCTCTGCCCTGGCCCCGCGGCCCCGGGCTGCTGCTGAGAGGTGTCTGAAGGGCTGGTGGAAGATTTATTTTAGGGGTTTTAGGGCTTTGGTTGAAGATGGTGTGCAGTGCCAATGGCCACGGGGTGTGGGGCTGCTGCAGGGGGGCTCGGGGACCCTCTTCAAGAGGGTCCCGCTGTGGGGCAGTGCCCCACAGCCACTCGGCACAAGGGCAGGACCCCGTGGGGGAGGAGGGCTGGGAGCCGCGCGGCAGCGTTCTTGAAGCAAAAAACAATTAAAACAAATATGAGGCCTTTATTGAGTTAAGTACAGACATGAATAATGCAGTCAGAGCAGCAGGGACTGCTCCCATCTGAAATTTGATTTGTTTCGGTGTGCTCTGCACCCCCAGTGTGGCTCCGCTCTGGACTGGTCCTCACTGGGCTGGGGGCGAGGGGCTGTGGGAGGCTGGGGCTGGGTGATGGCGGAGCGGAGCAAATCATGGCACATGTGCTGAAACCGCTGTTGTGTTTGGAGTAGCAGTCTGTAGGCTCCAGAGTTAACGCTGGGCTGAAGGGGAGAGCAACTTGCGTCTCTGCACTGCTCCTTCAGCCCGTGTGATGGTGGGGAGGCTGAGCGGTTTTGGGAAGGTTTGGGAGCCACAGAAGAGCGACTGCAGAGGGACGTGGCCTCCTTGCTCTCCCAGGGCCTTGCAGGGGTCTCGCTGACCCACCATCCCTCTGTCTGTCTCCAAACGTGCTGACAACAAACACTACCCGGTCCAGTTTTCCTGGACAGAGGGGTAAGGGTCTCTGACGTTGGCTCTCAGCCAGTTTCATGGAAATAACTTACCAGCTGGGAAAGAGGACATGTCTGCAGCGCTCCTGCCCCATTGGGGGCTCAGCCCGTGCCCCGGGATCCTGGGGGAGCTGGCACCAGCCCCTTCCCCTGGCGGGGCTCTCTCCTTCCCAGCTTCCAGCAGGTGGTAGCATGCTGCCGGCTCTGCCAGCCACGTCCCCAGCCCTGCCAGCGTCCCCAGCCAGGCGTCGCTTGCCCGTGGTGCCGTGCCCAGGCCTTGCCAGGTGCCGCACACCTCCGGCAGCCTCCAGCCCGGCACGAGGGACCCTCGTCCGTCTCACCCAGCCCTTGCCCGGCTCCCCGTCACACTGCCTGGGGAGGTGGCCCTGGACCCCCGAGAGCTGACCCCTCCTGGCATCCTGCGCCGCCGCCATGCAGAGCCCTGGACGAGGGGGAGGCAGGCGAGGAAGGGCACCCTCCCACTCCACACTGCTGGGTGCCGAGCGAGGGTCCGGAGCCCGTTTTGGAGGCCCTGGAAACCTTGTTTTCTGCTGGCCCTGCCAGTGTTTGTTCTCTGCCCGTTTCTGCGTCGGGTCCGGCAGCTCCTGCCGCACACAGTGGCTGCGGCAGCGCAGTGCCACAGGTGAGCGCTGGTCTTTGGCAGC